CGTCTAATATTCAATTCATCTTCTCCAGTTCTTGGATCAAATTCTCGGAAAAATGTGCAATCAAGTGGTTCAGCTAACATTAGTTCACATGTTGTATGAACAGTAAGAGAACGGACTCGACCACCAATTAATGAACCTGTTTCAGAATCAGCAAATGAACCCATTATATGATGAGAGTCTTGATCAAATGTTCCACTCAAAGATACAATATCATATTCTTTTTTATTTAATTGATGAGAATTTAATGAAAATTCTGCTAAGTTTCCAACACAACTTAAAATAAATAATGATTGTACGCCAATATTTTCCATTAATTCATGAATTGTTGAGAGTAATTCAACACCAGGACCAATGCGAAGTGGATAACATCGAATTTCTGTACTTGCTGGAGCTTCTATTTATTTTAATTCATAAATAAGAATCAATTAAATTAAATTAAATTAAATTAAACTTACGACGAGGAGTTCGCTTTTGTGATTTTATTTTATTTGTACGCGCCAAAATGCTATTGATTGTATTTACTATCACAGGCATTTTGATTTCAGTAGCTACTGATTATTTTCTCGATGTGTATGCTTCAGTGGCTTATAACTACAGCTTATATACTAGTTAGTAAATAATGCATTTAAGAACGAGACGAGACGTCGCGATTGTTTCGTCACGGACACCTCGCTCATATGAAAACAACCTACATAAAATATATCTTCCTTCTGTAATCAATAAATATTTATTAACCAACAATATTAAATATATGTTTTTTGCATTTTTTTGTAAGGACTTCAAAAAATATTTTTTTTATTAATCAAATAAAAATTAATATGAAACTTTTTTTTCAAAAATTGAAAATAATTTATTCTTTTCTTGGTAATCTGATTATATTTTGTTGCTTGTTATGATAGACAATACGTAGGTATTATTTGACCGAACCTTCAATGTTTAATGTCATGATAGGAAAAAACACAAAGTACAGACATCTTTTATTGTGACAAGTTATATTGAAGAAAAACATTCATTTTTTCGTCGTCGTTGTTAGATTAATAAAGAAGGTCAAATTTTGTCTGGCTAGCAATGATGAATTACAAGTTTGTAGTTTTACATTAACAACAGTTTATGATCATGCTCTTCTTGTTTCTCACACACAGAACGAATATCACATTTCATTTTTCTTTTATGATTAGTGTCTAATCATTGAATATTACAAGTCAACCGAAAAAAAAACAAGATTTACTCATAAGCGTCATTAAATCATCATAAGAGTAAATGAATCAGAAATATTACTTTTGATTTATAGAATAATTAACGAAAAGAAAATAAATTGTTAAACAATTAGATTGATATAATTAGTTAATTATTCGTCTTGAATATAATTTAGTAGAACTTGTTGAATAAATGATGTATTTATGCTTTATTTTGAAAAAGAAAGACTGATAAATACGAGTATAATCAAAATAATAATCTGAATTAGGTTAAGTAAACAACGTGACTCGTCGTTAGATACTTCTATATAAAAATAATACAATAAAATCCAGCATAATCTCAAATTAGAATATTTCTCCGATGAATTTTTATGATAAAATAATCTTTAAATATACATTATCAATAATTAATCTACCAAAGTCTGTTACCTCAGTAAATTAAATAAGTTCGATAAATTGTATTTAAATTCGAGATTAATTTACGATTTTAAACCAATTCAAACGAGATAGACAAATTGAATAAAACAAACATCACGATCAAAATAATTTTGAAATACACATAGAAAAAAATATACGAATAAACTGATTCGATGTAGTATAAGCAGAACGAAAAGCGTAATAATTAATTTTTGTGTTAATAGTATTTAATTTTTCAAGTAAAGTCAAGCTGGTTTTTCACTAATGACAAGATAATGATGATCAGATTGAATTTATTTTTGATGAGTACATATAGTTACACTCATTGCAAGTCGAACACAAATAGAATGATAAATTAAATCAATTTCAATATCTTCAAATTTGTTTAGTTGATTATAACCACGAATAAGATTTGTTGCTGAATCAATTGGATCTTGTTTATTTAACATAATATAGATACATGCTATAGCAACTTCACTTATAAGAAATGCTTGGCACATATGTCCAAAATCAATTGCACCAATATTATCTTCATCAATAATAATTATATTATAATCATGAGTATCATTATGAATAATAGATTTTCGAAGTGATGAAAATAAAGGAACAACAATTTGAATATAATCTTTAAGATTATCTTCAATTATTTGAGGATGATTTAACAATTAAATTTTTATATTTATTAATTATATATTCAGCATTTATTATTTTCCAATAAATATCACATTTTGCAGATTCACCTTTAAGTTGAATAAGAGATTTATCTATTATTCTAAGAAGTTTTTCTATATTAAAAATTAATTTAGGATTATAAGATCTCTAATCAGCTAAAGGAATTCTTGAAAGATAACTAACAAGACTTATTAAATGATATTTATATTTAACAATCATTTTCCATTTAATGTGTTTCATAGAACGATTTTGCATATGAACAACTGAATAAGTTTCATCAATCTTTGAAATCTTTAGTATAAATTTTGATTGTTGACGCTGAAAAAGAAACTTTTGATCACGTTCACTCGGTCATTGACAAAAAATTGATTTAAATCGTAATATTGAAGAACAACCTCTTTTATATCAGTATGACACGGAAAAAACAAATTGATTATTTAACAATATTTTATTTTTGTTGTTCATTAATCGTAACCAATTGAACATTCAATAATGAGCTTTTTTTATTCTATTTAACTTGAATTATTATATTATAGGCCTAATCATAAATAATTTTTGAGTTTGAACATAACCTAATGGACAGAACAGGATTAACTAAAAACTTTAATTTTAAATTAAACAAAAGACCGTCTAATGAATCATTCGAATAATTGAATAAGTTCTGTCGATTGATTTATCATATAAATGAATAAAAAATTTCAACGTACGATTCATATTCTTAAAGCATATTCATTATTTTTTATTTTCGTTAGTTTCCTATGAGACTTTATCATTCTTTTTTCTATTGCTCGACTTAGTAACAGCTTGTATCAAATGAAAATGTGATATCTTCATGTTATGTAAGTTGATTAATAGAAATTTAACATGAAACAATAAAGTTACTGAATAAAAAAAAAGTGTACCATTGAATTAAATTGAATTGAAATATATTGTTCAAATTTTAGAATAAGGTTTAGCAATCATGTTTCTTTATATTAAAGGTTTTTTTTTTATGGACAATTATTTGACTGTCACATTTCTATTATATTGTTATGAATAAAGTTATTTTTATGAATGTGCTTTGACAAAAAATCTAAATTATATGTGAATAAAATATTTAAATTAACTAGCCAAACTTTCTCAGCTTAAACATTATATATTATCTAACAAACTCATATGCCCCGGTTATGGTTTAAATATATTACTTCAAATAATAGTTATATATTTAAATAAAAAATATTGAGAACATTTTCTAGAAGATGGACATGATTATCGTGTTTACTGGTCGTTTACATTATACATATATTTTAAATTATTGAAATCTAGATGTATTTTTTTATTCAATTGTCCATTTTATTGTAAATATGGTTACATTTATTGATTTATTGTTTTTCTTTTTACCAAATCTTTCAATAAGCCCCCTCTCCTCCTCCCAAGAGTAAAAGCCCATTGAGCTTCTATTAATTTTGAAAATTATAAGTTTGAAGGTGGGCTTCTATTTCAACCCACTTTTTTTCGTCTTCCACAGTAAAATATGAAAAACCATTCTCGACAAAAGCGCACTAGCATTGTAGGAAATGTATTAAGACCTCCTTAAAAACTGATCTCAGCCCAGGAGCATTCAAATGGTATGACATTTTCAACATATGTTAGGGCTGGAGTCGAAAAGCTATGGTCAAATTTACAGACAAATATGATAACATTTGAAGACGATATTGGTCAAACAAAGGTGAAAAATAGCGTATTTGATAAACCTAATTTCTCTGTTCACGTTCATTTTATATATTTAATTTCTTTTTGTTTGAAAGAGCATGTCAGGATGCAATGCAATCAAGTGCTCTTCTTTTTAAACTCTTCTTTTTAACGGGAGAACAGAGATCGAAAATTAAATGACTCAAAAAAATTTCCAATACGGCTCTCTATTTATATAAATGTTCGTACATATAGTAAACGCAAAGTTTAATCAAACGAAAGGGCTCTGTACTGTACTGCATCTTGACGTGTTTTCTCAAGCGAAAAAAGTTCAATATATAGAATGAGTATTATCAGAGAAATTTGGGTTGCACGATCAAGAAAACATAAACGCAGAAAAAACGAAAAATGTTTTGCGTTTTCTGAATGCAGTCTATCTTTGAATAGGGGATGACAGAAATCTTGAAAAATTTTTGTAAAAAACGAGGTGCTGAGTAAACATTTTGTTGCTTATGAAAAATAATATCACGACCTATCTTCCCATGTATAGGAAAAGGTCCGTGTGTCCAGTCCTTCGAACGGCGCATGTGCTCCGCAATTCATTTGTTAGCTCAAGTTGTCGTCGATGTCCACTAGCTATTGACATTTATGAGTAACAAGAACTACAATGAAACTATAATAGGAAATAATAGCTGAATGTATTAAGACGAAAAAGAAATATTTTACAATGACATAATTCATAGCTACATGATATTTAGCATGAATAATGAATCGATATAACTGTAAATAAAATGTTTGTCGAATATTTATGAACATTCGTTTAGGAAAATATATAATACACTAGAAAGTTTGTTCAATACAGCAATATCAGTCTTTCCATCTTTGTTGAAATCGTAGGCTACCGCAGGACCTGGACTACTACTGGTTCCATATCGTTTTCGGCTTGGAAATGTCATACTACCATCGCCAAACAGCACTTGCATATTATGCGAAAGTCGACCGACAACTGCTATATCCATTTTGTTGTCATTATTAAAATCGCCTGACATGACATGACTTGGTTCCCTATCAACATCGTATTTCTTTTGAGCTTGAAACGATCCATTTCCCCAGCCAAATAAAATACTAATACTATGATCACCTAGATTAGCCACTACGAGATCCATGATCTGATCATGATTTAAATCAACTGATATTACAAAATTGGGGCTAGCACCACATTTAAATGTTTTATGAGTCTGAAAAGAACCGTTTCCATTTCCTAATAGAACGCTAATATTCTGAGCACCTAAGTTGGTGACTGCTAGATCCGATTTGTTATCGTTATTAAAATCACCCACGACTACAGAACTTGGTCGCTTAGCAGTCGCAAACTGTGTTCCATTTTGAAACGTTCCATCTCCATTACCCAACATCACAGTGATGCTGTCTGTGTGATAATTGACAATAACCAGATCCAGCATCATGTCATTATTCAAATCATGGACTACTACGAAGTGTGGCAAGGAATAAATCTTCTGTACTATTTCAGATTGGAAGATACCATATCCATTACCAAGCAGTATAGTAATACTATGATCGACTGAGTTAGTCAGTATCAAATCCAATTTGGTGTCATTATTGAAATCACCTGTTGCCATCCAATTGGCTTTCTTCTGAAGCTTGTACGGCATTCGACCACGACAGGTTCCATCTCCATTGCATATAAATAAAGCGACACTATCAGCTCCCTTATTGACCACCAAGACATCGATTATTTTATCGCTATCAAAATCAGCTGAAGTTATCGCCACTGGATTCGCACCAGTGGCATATTTAATTTGATTTTGAAATGTACCATTCGCACCATTAATCAACATACTGAAGGTGTTTTCTCCAGAATTGACTACTACTAGATCTACTCTACTATCGTTGTTAAAATCGTCTGCTCTTATAGCACTTGGAGAAGTACCAACCTTATACTTTAAAGGTCTGTGAAAGCTTCCACTACCATTGCCATACAGCACGGCGATGGAAGATTCATTCGAAAGGCTTAATGCTAAATCTGTATGGCTATCATGATTGAAATCAGCTGCCACTACAGCACTTGGACTCATACCAACTTCGTAAACGATTTGAGCCTGAAATGTCCCATCCCCATTGCCGAACAGTACACTAACACTATTATCACCATAGTTGGCCACTGCCAAATCTATCTTATCATCATCGTTGAAATCATGATATGTCATAGAGACTGGTGTTGCACCAACGCTATAACTCTTTAGATCCTCAAAAGTCCCATCTCCATATGCAACTGCTATACTGACGGTGTTATCACCTTGATTAATAACTGCCCAATCGAGTTTTCCGTCCTTATTAAAATCGCCTGCTATGACATAGATAGGTTGCGAGCCAACATCGTAGGCTATTTGAATATCAGAAAATGTACCTTCTTCATCACCCAACACTAAGCTAACCATGTCATCATCATAGTTTGCTACTAATATATCGATCTGCGTATCATTGTTGAAATAACCTCCTGTCACTGACATCGGATTGTTGCCAACAAAATATTCGATCGAAGTCTGAAATGTTTTGTCTGGATTACCAAGCAAGACGCTAATGGTTTCAGCCTCCGCATTCGTTACAATAATATCCATGGATCCATCATGATTCAGATCAATGTTGAATACAGAACTTGGTGCAAAATCTGTCTTATAATGTAATTCAGTCTCATAGTCATTTTTACCATTACCTAGAAGTATATCGACGCTTTGATCGTCATAGTTGAGCAATGCTAAATCAACTTGATTGATATTTGTGAAACCTCCAAACACTATAGTAACTGGTAATTTTCCAGTGTCAGAAATCTGTGGTGATGGATATGGATCACTGCATTGATATACTAAAACAACAAGACTCAAAGTTATTGATAGCTCTCATTCTTGTTTTCGCGTGATGTTCAATTTAACATGCCACAGTATAGCCGTCGAACAGTAAGGTAATACGAAAGTAGAGAACTTGGCTAAAGATTCTATTGTCGATTGGAAGACTGCTAGTATGCGTGCGTACGAGTGCAGTGAATCGAAATCAATGTGCGTCGATAATCAGCTGTCTGTGTGTCTCAATTAGAGTGCTCTCCTTACTCGCACACATGACAGTTTCAAGCCGTCTTGTTACTGAGACCTGCACTCTCACTAATATTGTCGTGCAGCCGCACTTGTGATGATACATATCATCAGTCATTCTGGTCCAAGCACATGCGTTTACACTCATCTACACAACCAAGGTAGGTGTAAGTGTATGAAGAAGCAACCCTCTCCAGCACCAACAGCCACATACCCTTACAGAGTACCTTCGCACAATGTTTTTATTTATTATGAAGAGTTTGGCTCTAAAGTTATCTTGCTCCCATCATTTGACACATCTCATGAACTGTGCTTATGCGTTCCCTGAGCTCTTCTAATCCGAAAAGAATAGTTTCTCAAAGCGAACTGTAAATCAAATCACGGTAGAAACAGCACTGTCGATCCAGTCAAGAGTACAAGTGCAGGGGCTGGAGCTTCAGAGTGCCGTTTGTGTTAAGCTAGTGTTTGTGAATATGATTTGCTTATTTCCATGCGTATCAAAAGTATCAGCGCAAAATGAGAAAAAATTACATCAGCTCGATAGAAGAGAGGAGAAAGAAACATTTGTTTCTAGTACTCCGAGCTATCAGTCATTGCTTCAATTTGAAATTTGAATTTTTCCAGGAGGCAAAAGTGGATTTGTTATTTTGATTTATTTAAGGTGCATGCATGCACAGTTCTTACTATTATTATAACAACTACATCAATAACTTGACGTCCATAATCTGGGATTAGTGCTAATGTCAACTTAACTTAATTGCACCATTCCTAGATGCGACATCAATGTCGTTCATTAAATTATTCAGAAGCTCACTGTCTGTTATAAGCTCAGAGGATTAATAAGTCAGAATGATGTAGTAGGAGTTATATGTCAAGTTTTCCTTACAGGATGTGAAGAAAAAAATGTTTTCCAGGATGCTGATATCAACAACGTAGTAACGTATTTCTATGAAAAATAACAGTTTTTATGATACTAGGATTATTGACAGAAATTGACAAAAGAAAGTGAAGCCGATGTAATTCAAGCAGTAGAGTGTTTTTGTATACATCTTGAATTTGAACATGAAAGCAGCATTGAAGAAAAAGCATACTTGATGTATTAGCTTGTTTTCGTGAGCCAAGAACAGAACCGATAATGATTGCTCCGATAGATAGAATTATGAACAAAGACAGAGGAACCAAAAATCGCTTCTTTTTATACCAGGAACGTCTGCAAAATACAATTACAAGTCTTCATAGCAAACAACGCCTTTAAACGAACATGAAATGAAACTCACTTAGGTTCCGGATATAGATGTGCACCTAAAAAGATAAAATCTGACATTTCGAATACTAAACTGAAATCTTAGAGGTTACCTTCGAAAGGAGGCGCAAGTAAGGTTTGCTCCGGTATGATTTGTTTCAAGTGAATGATATAAAGATCAGGTGCTGGACTCAATTGTGATTGTACTATCATATGAGTACCAGGCAGAAGAAGAATTTCTTCTTCTGTAACGAAATGAGAATGAGCACGTACTATTCGTCCATTAATGGCTTCAACAGAAAATAGTGTTCTCGCTCCAGCAGTGCCCAAATACATGTTATTTTCCAACACAGTCAGTGATGTCGTGCAAGAAGAAAATGACCACCATGTCACAGAAGTACCAGGTGAAAATTCTGCGCTCAAATCTTTTGTAACTCCTCGCCATACAGTCAAAGGTGGGACACACGGAATTTTGACCAGTGCGCTCAACAATAATTTTAGATACTTAAAATAAGGCCGAAGCTCTTCGCGATTACCGTTTTTTAGAGTGTAATTGAGCATTGAATACAGGCTTCGATGTGGTCTTTCCCATTCGATCGTGTACAGACGAATCGCGGCACTCTCATCAATTGTCAACCCATCGGGTGGGTTCTCAGGAGTTTCGTCTAGCGCCAGCTGCACATACGCTGATAAATTATAAAGAATATCAATTAATGGATCACATGCTTCAGCAAGTGGCAACAAAGGCTCCTCAGCATACTCAACAATTGGAGCAAAACCCGTATCACTATTATTCAGTTCATTGAGAGCTTGTTGCATTTCGTCTAAGAGGATATTTCCTAAAACTTGATACCTTTCACTCATTTGTTGATTAGTCGCAACACGACCATCCTCCATTACTTCTACTGTTTGACTTTGATTGTCATCAGATTGTTCTTCACTCAAATCTGCTTTTACTCTGTCAAGTGTGTATAATATTCCACTTTCAATCTTGCTGTTTTCGTGCATGATTTTTCGTTCATACTGTGCATCATGATCTTGATACAACATTGCTACATGATCACTTTGCGTGTTAATTTCTTCTTGGTTTATACTTGTAGGACGAGTCGCGTCTGTAGCATCCAACGTGATTATTATATGCTGGTTTGAGTTGTCGGCACCTTCTTTCTGCGCTTTTTTTTTCTTTTTCGATTTATGCATCTGCTTACTTGTTGATGAGTAGTCATCCTGAAAGTCGAAATTAAATTTTTTTGTTCGTGATAACAATAAGTAATGGATGAGGCAAAAGTTTTGTATTTCATTTTAAAATCTTGCAACATACATATTGTTGCTTTTTTCACAAATATGTCATGATGTCATCTATAAACTTTATCTGCTTAGTCTGTCAACTGCATATAACAGAATTATCACTTTAACTTCTCAGACATTTCTACTGAATGAAAAGTTCTTGAATAACATTCTGGGATACACATTTCACTTTTGTTCATTCTATAACAAAGCTAACAATGAAGAAACGCAGCGATACAACTGGTTTGAAGTTATTTCAACCTGTAATCGAACAATAACAGCACAACAATACATGTATATCTTGCCCTTTCATTCGCAGATAACTTCTATAGGGCGAAAAGCAGGAGAAACGTGAATGTTATTCACGATTATTTATCTCCAAT